TAATATTAACGTTTGCCTGGATTTGCACTTCAGAGTGATTAAATTAAGGAAAAGAGGAGGTGCAGGAAGAGATAGTCTATTCCATAAGACTGGCATTACTATGCCAAATGATGTTTGGGTTTTTAAATGTGAAACTGCTGTTCTACTGGTGAGGGGGGGGAACCTCCCTTATACTGTTTTGCGCATTTTTTGTACAGTGGTGCCCCGCAAAACGAATGCCTCGCAAGATGAAAAACTCGCTAGACGAAAGGGTTTTCCGTTTTTTGGGTAGTTCCGCAAGACGAATTTCCCTATGGGCTTGCTTCGCAAGACGAAACGTCTTGCGAGTTCTTGCGAGTTTGTTTCCTTTTTCTTAAAGCCGCTAAGCCGTTAATAGCCACTAAGCCGCTAATAGCCATGCTTCGAAAGACGGAAAAACCGCAAGACGAAGAGACTCGCAGAACGGATTAATTTCGTCTTGCAAGGCACCACTGTACCTGATCCACCTGCTGTTTCTGCCAAGCCACTGTTGGTGTCTTTTTTTATTATTGGAAGAACGTTACTCATATTATCCTCCCTCTTTCACACAAACTCAAGCTCTGTTGTTATGAATTAACATTCATGGACACTTGGAAATCTGAGGGATCATCTCCTTCAGCATGAACCTACCTGAAAACTACCATAATTAAGAGAGGACCTCATACCCGTCAACATTTCTCCAATGAAAATAGAGACATCCTATTTAATAATAATAATAATATCCCATCCATCTGACTACGTTGCCCGAGTCACTCTGGGCGGCTTCCAACATATATACAAAACATAATAAAACATTAAACATTGAAAAGCTTCTGTGTACAGGGCTGCCTTCAGATGTCTTCTAAAGGTGGCTATCTGCTTGGCTTGGGGGTCACTTAACTCCATGTTGTTGTTGCTGTTTAGTCGTTTAGTCGTGTCCGACTCTTCGTGACCCCATGGACCAGAGCACGCCAGGCACTTCTGTCTTCCACTGCCTCCCGCAGTTTGGTCAAACTCATGCTGGTAGCTTCGAGAACACTATCCAACCATCTCCTCCTCTGTCGTCCCCTTCTCCTTGTGCCCTCAATCTTTCCCAACATCAGAGTCTTTTCCAGGGAGTCTTCTCTACTCATGAGGTGGCCAAAGTATTGGAGCCTCAGCTTCACGATCTGTCCTTCCAGTGAGCACTGAGGGCTGATTTCCTTAAGAATGGATTGGTTTGATCTTCTTGCAGTCCATGGGACTCTCAAGAGTCTCCTCCAGCACCATAATTCAAAAGCATCAATGTTTCGGCGATCAGCCTTCTTTATGGTCCAGCTTTCACCTCCATACATCACTACTGGGAAAACCATAGCTTTAACTATACTCCATGCCCTCCAACATTTGTCTGATGCAAATAGGGATGTCCTAAGGAAAAGCGAGACACTCCAGGATCAAATCAGAAACCCGGATGCTACTGTTCTGCCTTCACCAATGGAGATGGTATGCCTCTGTGTGCCAGCTGCTGAAAACCGCTGGGTAGGGCGAGCATGCTCCTGTGCTCAGGTCCCGCTTGAAGGCTTCCCATGGACATCTGGTTGGCCAGTGTAAGAACAGGATGCGGGGCTAGGTGGGCCACTGGCCTGATCCAGCTGTTCTGCCATTATCACATGCTGATTTGCTGGGAGTGAATATGCAGAGCTGTGTTCCACAAATGTTTCAGAAATGAACAAAGCAAAGCCAAAACTATGCCGTAAAATGACATGTTGTTTCTGGGGTCCCACAGCGTGGTAAAACAGATCTCCTTTTGGAATCTCAAGACTGGGACACATCAGATGCAGTATAAATTGGGCGTTTGCTGTTAGTATTAATTACCTCTCAAGTGCACCGAATACGAGCTCATTTATATTCAGAACAATCCCCCTAGAATAAGTAAAGAAGAAAGACAGAACAACCAGAAGCACAAGAAGAAATAAAAGATCAATGAATGGCAAAAAAGAGTGTTCTAAACTTTTTTCTCCAGCTGCCTTAAAGGATCGTCCTCAAAAATCAACTATAGATGTGTAGCTGACATGCAACTTCTAACGCTGATAGGTGGCAGCAGGGATTTCTCTAGAGAAAACATAAAGTGCTTGATGATCATGTATTTGTCTTGTTACTTGCCTTGTAAGACAGCTAATTATTGCAGAGGTATCCAGCGTTACGGCAGGTGACAGAAATATTGAGGACACAATATTGTATAAAGAAACAGTGTAAATCTAATGAATAGTCAGGGGGGCGGATTTCAGGGAGTGGGGATTTTGCATCACACCCTGAAAACTACAAGCTATGTTGTTCTAAGTTCCAGTTGGATCATCTGTCTGGCCCATCCATCAACGCCATACTGTCATAGGTAGATATCCTCACAAAGGATGCAACATACAAGACTGTGTTCTCCAAATGTCTTCTTCAAGGGATCCAGTTGTGATTAACTAGAGATCAACTAAGGACAGTCATGCCATGTTCTCTGTACCCCTGCTCCAGCTCAGGTAATTATTTCAAGCAATTTTGCAAAGATACAGAAGTTCCAAACACCTCAATGACTATCTGTCAGAGTTATTCATGCTTATGGACTCCAACAGCCCAGTTTCCACCCCAGTTTTGGTCTATGTCTCTTGCCTAGCAACATGGAACTTCAGATGGTTCCACCATCATCCCAGCACAGATAACAGGGGATGTGGCAGATCAAAATGTTTTCCAGGAAGACTCCCTCTCCTTTGGCTTGACCTCCACAAATGCTAAGGCTGCTCTTGAATGCTGTTGTCTAAGTACAGGCAAATGAAAAGTTCATTCCCTACAACTGATCTTTCATCAGATTGTGAGACGGGGCCATTGTGCCCGTTTTATACAGAGTCAAGTGAGGTTTGCCCCTAAACCTACACGTAGCAAGAAAGTTCAATGACTCACCGCTCCCTGATGGTGTTCCTGTATGAACTACAGTGGTACCTCGGGTTAAATACTTAATTCGTTCTGGAGCTCCATTCTTAACCTGAAACTGTTCTTAACCTGAAGCACTACTTTAGCTAATGGGGCCTCCTGCTGCCGCCGCACCGCCGGAGCACGATTTCTGTTCTCATCCTGAAGCAAAGTTCTTAACCTGAAGCACTATTTCTGGGTTAGCGGAGTCTGTAACCTGAAGCGTATCTAACCTGAAGCGTATGTAACCCGAGGTACCACTGTGTGTGTTTATCACATTTATACTTTACATTTGTAGATACTGTATGCACATCAACCACTGAGTATGAAGAGTACTGAAAGATGTTTAGAATAAACAGCTATACCAATATATGTTTATATAAATGAATATTAGGGACGCAGGTGGCGCTGTGGGTAAAAGCCTCAGTGCCTAGGGCTTGCCGATCGCATGGTCGGCGGTTCGAATCCCCGCGGCGGGGTGCGCTCCCGCCGTTCGGTCCCAGCGCCTGCCAACCTAGCAGTTCAAAAGCACCCCCGGGTACAAGTAGATAAATAGGGACCGCTTAATAGCGGGAAGGTAAACGGCGTTTCCGTGTGCGGCTCTGGCTCACCAGAGCAGCGATGTCACGCTGGCCACGTGACCCGGAAGTGTCTCCGGACAGCGCTGGCCCCCGGCCTCTTGAGTGAGATGGGCGCACAACCCTAGAGTCTGTCAAGACTGGCCCGTACGGGCAGGGGTACCTTTACCTTTACCTTAAATGAATATTGGAATAGGAGGTGGCAACAACTTGTGACCTGTCAGTGATCCACACCAGTAAAGCAGTAACACAAAAGCATGCACAATCAGAACCAGGAATTTAAACAATTAAAAAATGAATGCAATCAACAGTTGTGCAAACTAGCTAGAACCAATTCTAGTGAAGGACCGCATAAAACTAATAATCATCAGAATGAACCTGTTTTAATAGTGTTTCTTCTCATTCCCAGTTCTGCAGTACCAAGTATAAGTAGACAGGACACAGTAAATAATGAAACAATATAATGTTTTGTACCTAATACAGAGCTTTGTAAGAGAGGGGGGAATCATACCAGGGCTTATATCACAATTGACATGTTAATAATTCGTTGCTGCCTCATCTCTTGTTAGGAAATCAGTAGGAATGTCCTTTTCAGTATTTATGAAGGCTGACAGGGAAGTGCTGCTCAGAAGCTCTTGATCGGTGTTGGCATAAATGTGCAATTTCGTTTATTTTGTTTTGCTGATGGAAGTTGACAGGAATTCAAGACTGTGGTTAGCAGCCTTGTCTCATGCATTGATAATCAGATACATTCAAAGAAGGGGTGCCACAAAGTTCAGGTGTCGGCTGGCTCCTTTCCATTTAGCAGCCCTGGAAACCACCTGCAGATCAAAAGGAGGAGATGCATATCCTTCCTCTGTGGCCTCTGTGCAGAGATGGGATGCTTTTTGGGATGTGATGGCAATCTGATCAAGTGTAGAAAGAAGAAGAGCATTGCGATGGCCAGGGCCACACCAAAGGTCGCTGTTATCATGATGTGTCTCTCTATGTGCACACGTGTGTTTTTGACCCCAGCCATCACTGGGTGAACGCTTGCCAATACCATTCTAGTTTCTTCTCCGCAATGAAAAAAGGAATTCAGAACAATAATTCTAGTCCTGCTAGTGTGGCATAGTAGTTAAGAGTGTTGGATTAGGACCTAGGAGACCAGGAGTCAAATTCCCAGTCAGCCATGAAGCTCGCTGGGTGTCCTTAGGTTAATCTCTCAGCCTAAACTACCTCACAGGGTTGTTGTGGGACTAAATGAGGGAGAGAACTGTATACGCCACTTTGAGCTCTTTGGAGAAAAGGCGGGATATAAAAGCAATAATAATAATACTTGGACTCTTGAGTTCCTGCATCTGAAAAAGGAAAACAAAACAAAACTGCCTGAGTTGGTAGCCCTGGCGATACTCTTGGCAACCACTGGAACACTGGGCGCCCTTGGTGATGTTGTTACCGTGGTAGCCACAAAAGCTCTGACGCGATAAGATCCATTGTGACCCAGGCCCTGGTGAGCACTGATCCTTTCATTGCTACATTCCAGTGAGGCAGAAACTGCTGCAGCAGAACGGGAAATATATGACTGGTTCCAACCATGCAGGTTGTAAGTAGATGGCTCCACGTGGTCTGTTGCTTCTCTGTGCCTCTATTAACTCACCAGAGACTTGCTGGTGCCAGACATAGCCACTGGTATTTGTCTTCTGCAACCAGCATTTTTTAAAAAAATGTTCTGAATGGTCTTCAGTCCTTCCAGAGATTTTGGCTGTCAAAACATTCCAGTAGTCTTTCTTGGCTTTTGCCGTTGTGAATCTCAGCATGGGTTTTCATTGTGTTTAGTTTGATGGCTAAGTAATAAGAGCGCTTGTATTTTGTGTGTGTTGGGATTTGTTTCTTTGTACGCAGGATAAATCCCAATGGATTCTGTAGGTAACTGAAAATTCATGTCAATTGGAAGTGACCCTTCAATTATGCCCTGGTGGGAAATGATTCTTTAAAACATACCTGGGTGCGGTTAGAATAAACTTCACCTTGTCTCAATTTGAGATTTCAAAAGCACTATGAAATAAAACCCAGGAAGAAATGAAATCTGCTTTATATTTTAACTATTTAATCATCACTCCTATATCGCATATTGAGAGGGCTGCATACACACCATACATTTAAAGCATGTCCCCCTCACCACAATTTGTGGGAACTGTAGTTTACCCTACACAGAGAGAGCGCTACAATTCCCAACACCCTTAACAAACCACAGTTCCCAAGATTCTTGGAGGGGGAGGGGTGGTTCTTCAGGTGTATGGCATGCATGCAACTCCAGACACTGTAGCAAACTTGTGTCTCTGATACTGAAAACAGCAACAACCCCATAAACCAAGTTTTTCTTTTTCTTTTGGTCTGGGTTTCTTGTATGATCTTTGATTTTTGGGTGCTCTCTGGTAATATTAAATAGATGTATGTCTTAACTGGTTGGATAGTGTTTTTGGCTGGATAGTGTTTTCGAGGTTACCAGCATGAGTTTGACCAAACTGCGGGAGGTAGTGGAGGACAGAGGTGCCTGGCGTGCTCTGGTCCATGGGGTCACGAAGAGTCGGACACGACTAAACGACTAAACAACAACATGTCTTAACAGCTAAAGAATTATATTTGTGATAAATCAAGATACATAAAGGGAGCTGACAGAGAGAAGAGGAAGGGGCCTCTATGAGAGGCAGGTCAGAGCGATTTTTCTCAGGGTAGGAGACAAGGAAGGAGAAGCTCTCCCAAGTGGGAGATGGGAGGTGGGAGGATTAAACTCTGTGTGTAAAATTAGATTAAGGTAAAATTAGATTAAGGTAAAATGGTGACCAAGGGCTACACAGATATATTTATAATTTTTTATTTTATGAGGATCATATGAGGATTATTATCAATGTATCTTTCTTTTTCTCTTTGGTATATTTTCTGTTTGATATATTGTTTTTTATTATTCTTTTTATTAGTTTGGATTTTATGGTATATTCGGTTGAAAACCTTTAATAAAAAAAAGAATAAAGCTGCAATCTCGTACACACTTCCTTGGGAGAATTTGAGATATGTATAAAGTTATACTGTGACAAAAGTTTGTGTGTGTGTGTATGTGTTTTCTTCTAGATCAACCATGGTTGTAAAAGAAAAGATTAAAAAGACCTACGGCCCACATGTTGGGATGAGCACGGCATATGCCAGCGAACCAGACTTTACCTCTGAAGATAAGGCTACACAAACCAACTTTGATAGCCCAAGAGATGGTATGACCCAGGAAAAGGCAACAAATCCATATACACCCCAGATGTTTGTGCCGAGTAAGAAAAAATACTGTGTGCTGAAAACAGAAACACAAATTCGAGAGAAAGTCTCTGCTGCCAAGCCAGTGCCAGAACCTGGGGACTTTCTCGTGAAGGAAAAGGAGAAGAAAGGTCATCATGTTATCTCGCCGCCGCCGGAAAATGAAAACCTTAATCAGGTACAATCACTCTGTGGATTTCTCTTTCCCAGCTATCATCTTCTCCTTTTGCACCAAGTCTTCACACATCATTGGCCACAACAATACAACACAGACCCCCTTAAAGCACAAGTCTATGTCTGTTTACTCTGATGTAGGTCCAATGGAGTTCAGTGAGACTTACTCTCAGGTAAGCAGTTATAGGTTTGTAGCCTTTATGGCATATTTTATCTTCAGTGCACCTAACTCTGTCAAGACCATCACATCTATGTTCACATTTTTGCATCTTCCTCGGGTGAAGATGCTTCCTTCTTTACACTTCCTCCTGCAGCCCCCAAACTCTCGCTTTTTCCATGCCATAAACTTTTTTACACATGAGATTAAAACACCCAGCTGCTTTCCTCACACGATATTGATGACACACCCTCTAATGCAGACATTTATAAAGTGAATGAGCATTGTGCCAGTGTGAGTTTTATACACATTTGTATTACAAACCAGAGCCACTTTACACCTCTTTTGTGAAAAGGCTCGCTCATCTGCAAATTTAGAAGTTCTATCTTTACATCTCCCTCTTGTTATGGGAGAAGACCTCTGTTTCCACACGCTTGCCTTGATGGTCTAGGCCAGTGTTTCCCAAACTCCAGCTGTTTTCGGACTACAATTCCCATAATCCCTGACCACTGGTCCTCCTAGCTAGGGATGATGGGAGTTGTAGTCCAAAAGCAGCTGGAGACCCAAGTTTGGGAAACACTGGTCTGGGTGATAGATGGCCTGTGGCCCGCCACATGTTACTGGGCACCAAGTACCACCAGCCTCAGCCAGGGCAGCCAATGGGCAGGGATGATGGGAGCAACATCTGGAAGGCCAGAGGTTCCCTACCCCTGACCTAGGTCTTCTTTCTGCCTGGACAACTCATATAATCTTGGAAACTTTTCAGAGTATTTTTGTCCCTGCTTTACATTTGCATAACTGATGTTGGAATGTATGTATGTTAGAAATCAGCTCGTTTTGGTTTTTTTCCTGCCTCTCCTCCAAGGAGCTCAAGGCAGCATATGTAGCTGTGCCCTTTTTTTATCCTCACAAAACCTCTGAAAGATCACTGAGTTAGGCTGAGAGATAGAGACTGGCCCAAGTTCAACCCAGTGAACTTCATGGCAGAGTGGGGAGTTGGTTCTGGGTCTCCTTAGTCTGACTCAAGCACTCCAACCATTAAATCTAACTTCTCCAGTTCAGCAATACTTTTTAGCTAGTCTATTGCGGGTGTTCATCTTTTGGATAATGGATGTATCCCCCACAACTGCCTCTTCTCTGTTTTATTTCAGATACCTGAAGGAGCTGATGCAGAGTCCACCGTGACGGGTCAGATACTTTTAGCCATTGCTAGCCTGAGGGACACAGAAAAAAATAGCACCCAGGCAGCTTCAGCTATGCTGAATTCAATCTTGAAAAAAGAGAGGAACAAACTGAGGGGAAAGGTAAAAGAAGAGAGAGATGCTTATGGGTTTCAGAAAATTGAGGTGGTTGTGCCTTGTGGGTTCTAGCAATGAATTCTAGAGAGAGACAACTAGTTGTTTTTTTGCCAGCTTATTTGGTTGCCTGCTTGCATTCTTCTGATCCAGGAAAGGGATCTGCCAGCCCAGTTATAGGTTTAGCTTGTCAGGTAGTTTCTTCCCAAGAGCAGTGTTGTGACAGCCACCTCAGTTCTCTTGCTACCTGCCCTTTAGGTGCTTTGCTGCTGCACATAGTCTTTCCAGACAAACGAGGGCCACAGCTTCACCCACTCAGCCCGCTTCGCTGGGCGAGCTCCATTTTCTTGGATGCTCATTGGCTCTTTTTGCATCCCCGTTTCCTGACCTTAGAACTGCATCACAGCTGGGAACCTTTGGGGCTCCACAAGAGCAGCAGTACCTCCAGGGATGGTTTATCCGTTAGGCGAACTGCACACCTGCCTAAGGCAGCGAAATGTTAGGGGTGGCAAAATTAGAAGGACGTACACGCAAACGCGAGAGGCAAGGAGAACTTCAGCTGGGTATGAGAGGCAGAGAAAATCCAGGTAGTGATCTGCCGGATCATCTCTAGCAATCAGTGGGGTGACAGATGTCACAGGCAGATTGCCCTCGCTCGCATCCACGAGCTAGTCCAGATAACTATTACTAATTGATTAATCCCTTTGGGTTTTGCTTAGTAAACTCCTTCCTCACCTCGTCAGGGCTTGCAGATGGGTTTCAGACCGGGGAACTCCCAGCCCTCCCTGGAGAAGCCAAGGTTTGAACCTGAGATTGTCTGCAATACTGTACTGAGCTATGGTATAGAGAGGGAATTGAGAATAATAATAATAATAATAATAATAATAATAATAATAATAATAATAATAATAATTTATTATTTATACCCCGCCCATCTGGCTGAGTCTCCCCAGCCACTCTGGGTGGCTCCCAAGCAGATGTTAAAAACAGTACAGCATTAAATATTAAAAACTTCCCTAAACAGAGCTGCCTTCAGATGTCTTTTAATGATAGGATAACTGCTTATTTCCTTCACATCTGAAGGGAGGGTGTTCCACAGGGTGGGCGCCACTATCGAGAAGGCCCTCTGTCTGGTTCCCTGTAACCTCACTTCTCACAATGAGGGAACTGCCAGAAGGCCCTTGGCGCTGGATCTCAGTGTCTGGGCTGAACGATGGGGGTGGAGACACTCCTTCAGGTATACAGGACCGAGGCCATTTAGGGCTTTAAAGGTCATTTAAAGGTCATTTAAAGGTTATTCACGCTGCAAAGTGACCATGCTAAGTGATGAATGACATTGGTATTGCACCTGCTATATCCTGGCATTGCCACACTGAGGGACACAACAGGAATTAACCTTTCATAACACTATTTTCAGCCCTGCCTATACCTGTCCAATGGGCAGAGACTGGAACGGCCATCAGTGGTCAGTGTAGGTAAAATTGAGGTGGTGGGCCAATGGTCTGATTCAGTATAAGTCAGCTTCGTATATTCCTATACCAAAACAAAGACAGGATGAACTATCTGTAGTTCTCTAGAAGCAAAGCAACTGTGCTGCTTTATCTGATCAGTCTGCTTGTTACGAATATCCATATGTAGGTCAGATTCCAGCAAATTAAATCAAACTCTGAAGTGCTAGCAGGTATCTAGTTGATTGACACTTGCACAAAATGACTGAATGCAAATATAGTAATGTGTGTACACTGTGCTATTTTTCTAGATAAGGAGGTGCCGGAGCTCAGCCATCTTTTTCTCCCAAAAATCACCTGGCAGGGATGGCACACCATACTTCTTTCATGCGTTTTTTAATCAAACGTTTTCCATGGCTGTGGCAAGCGCTGCACTTTCTAACTGCTCTGAGCAACTAGAAATGTTTTAAAGAAGGAAAAAAGAGAGAGGAGGAGGAGGAGACGTTCAGGGAAGCCCTCAGGCTACCTTGAAAGTTCTTTATCGCTGATAAATGCCTTTTTAAAGCGTGCAGAATTTTTAAAGGATTTTGCCAAACAAATCCGCACAGAATGGAATGGACATGTCGGTCTACTCATATGCAAGGAACATGAACTGTAAGAGCATTTTGTCCATCCCTAGTAAAGGATAGTGGGCCTCTCTTATCTCTGTCTAGCAAGCCCTCTCTGCTGCATATGCATATATATATCGGTGCAGCTTTCTAAGCTATGAGAGTTCATATTACTGTATGCACTCCCCCAATTCTGAATTCAACCCAATCACTATCTGTAATGCCTGTTTCAAAAACTCTCAGCTGATTCAGTCACTGCAAGTCAGCCTAGAAGCAATCATGTTTAGACATGTTCTAAACATCCAAATTATTCTCAGGTCAGAGCACTATCTAAACAGCAAGGGTCTACTGGTTGGAGGAGCTGCATATATAACCATTGTAGTGCAGTGATGCAATTTGTTGAGTTCATTCTAACCTCTTTATGACAAGATCACGGCCATTTACCCAAACTGCTATCTTTTCTGTCACACTGCAAGCCATTTTCACCTAGACACTAAGAAGTGCTACAGCATTCAAATCTGAGGACCAAAAATGCAAAATAAAATGCAAAAGCAACAGAAACTGTGAAAGAATCACCAGTGTAAACCCTTGTTTTGTTTTATCCCAGGTGCCAGAAATCATTGATATTATTTATTTCCACCTGCGAGCTATCCAGGAACCTAGTGCAAGAGAAGTTGCCATAGGGGCTGTGTGCCTCCTGGCTGAAAAACACACAGAAGAAACTGTTTCAAGCCTTCTGAAACTCTCATTGCTTTGTGACAGGTGAGGAACTGAGTTGTCGTCCATGATTCCCTGTGAAGTAAGTTAGGCTTTGACTTGCCCAAGGCCACCAGGTGAGTTTCATGGCTGAGTCGGAATTTGAACCCAGGTCTCCCAGGTTCTGTGCTCCAACCGCCATGCCACACAGGGAAATAACATTGATTCACCTGTGTGAGTTCCTCTGGTTGCCTCTGATGGAAAAATCTGTGGGCTAAACTGGCAATGATATCACTCGCTCTACCTACTCAAATATTCAGAACTTATACCAGAATATTGTAGGTGACCTTTGTCACCTATTTAACCAATGTAAATATTCTTGGTGATTCAATTACACTGAGCTAGCAAAAGGTCTGAGCAGCTGTCTTGATACAGCACCTAAAATGTGTGATGATAGTCACCAATTATTCCAAGGTGACAGCATTCACTTCATTTTATTCCTGTGAACAATGAGATAAAATCTAAGGGTAAACCAAGGAATATCATAAGATGCTGCCTTATAGCAAGTCAGAATATTTATCCAACTAGCTCAGTATTGTGTACCCCGGGGGCAAGGAACCTTTGTCTCATGAGCAGCCATCTTGGGAGCTGTCTTCCAGTGGTGCGTTGGGACAGAGCAGTTCCAGCTGGTGACCTTTTGCAGTTTTTAGGCAAGTGTGTCTAAAAAAGCAACATATCAATTATTCTCTGCATATCCATGGACAAGATAATATATGTGGACACTGATATAGATTTGTTTGTTTTAATTTTAGGCATATCACTCAAATCTGGGAAGCCTTGGGCCAAGCTAAACAGCCTGTAAGACTCCAGGTTCTTGCCAAGCTTCTCGAAGTGCTGAAAAGGAAACCTTGCCTTAGCGGAGAACGCCCGGGATCAGATGGAAAGTTCACAGACAACTCCTCCCTTCTACCTCTAGCCGTGAGAGAAATATGCTATTCCTTTACCTCCAATTGTAACAAGCTGTGCTGTGCTAGAGCATAGACTGGGATCTAGAAAGATGCACAAGAACTTGGAGGCCACCACCCAATAGAGCAAAGTTTGGGAACTGTTTTTGGACAACAGTTCCCATCATCCATCACCTCTGGTCCTGCTAGCTAGAAATGATGGGAGTTGTAGTCCCAAAAAACCCTGAAGACCCAAGTTTGGGAAACCCTGAAATAGAGAGTGCACAAAACATAGCAGGCCCTGTTGTTGAGCAGGGTGAGGTGGTTGCCTCAGCCAGCTGATTCTGGGAGTGCTGGTGGAGCAGACCCTCCTATCGTTACCTTCTGAGCCTACCTCCCTTCTTTTTAATCCTCCTGGCGCCCGCACTCTGGTGGTGAGGATGCTTTCTTGTTCTTGGCATGGACTGGCTGGCTAGCTGTTTTGCCTGGTTGCCTTCCCCCCAGCACATCACCAACAGTGCCATTGGGAGAGGCCTCTGCCCTGACTGAGTGAGCAAGCGAGCAAGCAGAGAGGCAGCCAGCCCAGGCCATGCACTCTGGAAGGAGTTGGACATGTGCATAAGTTGCTCAGCTCATGCCCTGCAGCAAGCAGATGGTAAGCACAGAAGCAAACGAAGTGTTGGAGGGCAGAGCTCTGTATGTCACAAGGCCTGCCCTGTTTCACTTCCCACGCTAACCTGCTGCCCTTCTGTGCTATGGCAGATTCTCTCCCATTCCCAGTCTTGAAGTAACGTTCAATCGAAGGGTGCAATCTTATCATTCATTTCAAGCAATAGAATGTTCTGGAACCTGTGGAACTAGGCCAAGATATGACCAGACTCATGCTTTCACATTTTCTGCAGTGGCTCCCTATTTGTGGAATGCTCTCCCCACGGAAGTTCAGCTGGCGCCTTCATTATACAACTTTAGGGAGCATGCGAAAACTTTTCTCTTCAGCCAGGCTGATTAACACCCTATAACATTTTGAATGTGTTTGAGGGAGGGCTGTTATTGGTTTGTGTGTGTGTTTTGGTTCTTGTTTTTATTATGTATTTTGTTTTTTAAGCTTGTATTTTGGTGTTGTGAACTGCCCTGCGATCTACAGATGAAGGGCGATATACAAATTTAATTAATTAATAGTATTCTGATGCCCTAGGGACGCAGGTGGCACTGTGGGTTAAACCACAGAGCCTAGGACTTGCCGATCAGAAGGTTGGCAGTTTGAATCCCCGCGACGGGGTGAGCTCCCGTTGCTTGGTCCCAGCTCCTGCCAACCTAGCAGTTCAAAAGCATGTCAAAGTGCAAGTAGATAAATAGGTACCGCTCTGGCGGGAAGGTAAACAGCGTTTCCGTGCGCTGCTCTGGTTTGCCAGAAGTGGCTTAGTCATGCTGGCCACATGACCCGGAAGCTGTACACCAGCTCCCTTGGCCAATAAAGCGAGATAAGCGCCGCAACCCCAGAGTCGGTCACGACTGGACCTAATGGTCAGGGGTCCCTTTACCTTTATTCTGATGCCCCTGTACTGGACCATCTCTATGCTTGGATATGCAATCTGGCAATATTGCTTAGCTAATTCGTAAATGGACCAGTTACAGAAGATGTTGGACTTTATGGGGAGAGGGGACAAAACCGGGAAGGGAACAAAAAGGACATGAAAAATATTCTACACTGCTTGTCTCCAGTTTTTGCTAGGATCTCTCATTGTAGCCATACAACAGGAGTGGCCAACGAGTCCTCAGAGGTTGTTAGACTCCAGCTCCCATCAGCCCCAGCCAATGGGGCCAATGGTGTGAGATGATGGGAGTTGTAGTCCAACAACATCTAGAGGGTGCTAACTCTGCCATAAAGTAACCCTAACTCACAGTCTTAGGGTAAGACTGCAGTGATCCGAGAACAAACATAACGAGTGATATCTGCTTGTGGGAGAAAAACCAAACTTCCTAGAATTAAGGTCTGGGGTTTTTTTTATTCTGTTTCAGGCAACAAAGGCCCTATGCATAATATTTAGGGATAAAAAGTGCAAAATCCCTATGAACAGCTATTACGTATCTGTGATCATCTTCCTAGTTATTCAGCTGCACTACTTGATGAATTGTACAGATTCCGAACCTGGACAAGAGGACATAATCAGAACATCAAACTACATAAGGTAACAGGCAGCTAATGGAGTGGAGTGGGACGTGGGTGGCGCTGTGGGTAAAACCTCAGCGCCTAGGACTTGCCGATCGCATGGTCGGCGGTTTGAATCCCCGCGGCGGGGTGCGCTCCCGTCGTTCGGTCCCAGCGCCTGCCAACCTAGCAGTTCGAAAGTACCTCCGGGTGCAAGTAGATAAATAGGGACCGCTTACCAGCGGGAAGGTAAACGGCGTTCCGTGTGCTGCGCTGGCTCGCCAGATGCAGCTTGTCACGCTGGCCACGTGACCCAGAAGTGTCTGCGGACAGCGCTGGCTCCCGGCCTATAGAGATGAGCGCACAACCCTAGAGTCTGGCAAGACTGGCCCGAATGGCCAGGGGTACCTTTACCTTTACCTTTACCTTACCTTTAATGGAGTACTACTAACCATGTAAATATCTGATAAGAACATAAATCTCTCTTCTTTGGCTTGTAAGGAAAGGCTCTGGAGGTCTTACTCTTTCCTGCAATGCAGCAGGAGAGCTATTCTCATTAAAATGTATTAGCAGAAAAAGGCTTTCTAATCTGAAAAAGATTGTCCATTCCAAAATGGCTTTACTGAGAAATTTATTTTGCTTTATAAGTAAAGTCCCATTGGGCTTTTATGTGGTTAGGATATTGCCTGCTATGCAGAGGTAAGAGTCAGTTGCTTTGCCCTGTTTTGGTTCCGCTCCACCCACGTTGTTTCTGCCTCTGCCCTCATCAAACAAGGAACACTGAGCAAGATTCCATGAGCATTCATGGGATTACAATGCCTGGACCATACCTTCCCAAAATGTACGCAAATATTTAAAAAAAAAATCAAAAAGAAATTTCATTATCATCATCATATAAATAATAATTAATAATAATAAACATGCATGCTATGTTCCTTTCCAAACTCGGCTTGTTCTAATGAACTGAGCTGTCTACACCACTTCCTTCCTTATTGTTTCAGGTTCCAATTACAGTAATAATGTATATCATTCATTGAATTAATAACCATCCAAGTGCTATTTTTTTGTACTTAATAAAGATTGGTATATTGCAGAATATAGTCACATTCGGTATAATTAAAGCACTGAGAACTACAGAGTATAAATGACACACTCACACACACCATTTACTCTAAAAGGTCTACAACAACACACACAGACACAAAAACCCTATAAATATTCACACAGAGACTTAGGTAGGTTCAGACAGATGGTGTGCAGAATGAAATATGCCTGCAAAGAATACAAAGAGACAAGTCCAAGACAGCATTTAGTTGGTATAAGAACATACAGTGCTTTTTTTCCCCTCAGGGGATACTCAAGGGTATGCAGTACCGGCACCTCTTTTGGTTGTTGTTAAAAAGTGTGGCGCTTATTGTAACAACTTCATGGTTGTGAGTAGTGGCACCTATTTATCTAGAAAAAAGCACTGAGAACATAAAAGAGCCCTACTGGATCAAGCCAGTGGCCCATCTTTTCCAGTACAGGTGGGGGCGATTTTAGGCACGTCTAAGGGACGCACTATTGCCAATGTGCGGGTCCTTATGGACCTGGGAGAAGGCGAAATTGGGGGGGGGCTGCGTAAAATGGTCTCCACCTGTACTTTTCTCACACAAGGAGAATATGAGTGCAACAGCACTCTCCTCACCTGTTATTCAGAGGCATACTTTTCCAGCAGTAGAGTTAGAACATAGACCTTGGGACTAGTTAAGTCTTATTAAGCATGAATTTATCTAATCCTCTTTCAGAGCCCTTCAAGTTGGTGGCCATCACTGCATTTTCTGTGAGCAAATTTGAATAGTTTGCATTTTAGAATGCTATTACACAGGTCTCCAAATTTTATAGGATTCCCCACTTCTTCTCTATAAAGACTGTCTGGTCCTTGCATCTCTCGGTTCACTGATCATGCATAGTTGACACATTAATTTTTTGCAAAATTGGAGGCTTATATGTTGGGCAAAGTGGCCTCTGCATGGAATTAGATTATTCTGTGGCTCCAGAGATGGTCCTTGATAATTATCAAGTCCCCCTATATCAATGCATTTCATATCCTAAAAGATGAAAGCTCCTAGTAAGCCAAACCGCAATCATTTATAAAGGATTTAATAATGCCATCTAACAAAACTCATGAAGGGGTGTGTGTGCCATAGGGGTCTAAGTAATTGTCCCTGTCAAATGCTTTTTCTTTCCCTGAATTCAGCTGCGCCATGGATGCTTTAAAAGCCTTGGTGAAAAGGCAGAAGGCTCCTCAGGCGTGTTTTACGAGTCTAACAGGAAGCTGGGACCTTTTGGCTTCACCAGAGAACTACCTTGAAGGAGTTCTCCTTCTGGCCAGGCAAGTAGTGGAGGACCTGAATTTGAGGCTGAATATTGTGTTCTTCAGTGTGCCTTCTGCATATTCAAAAATAAAATATTGTTTATATCCTTACAGAGCCCTTGTCAAACATCATCATGGGCTTGACTATGCGGTATTTACCAAGGTGATTCCTCTTCTCCATCATGGGGATGACCAACAGAAGCTGACGGCAATGGCCTTTTTCACTGCAGTATGTCTATTTTCTTGTTTGAGTAGCATCTTGAGAAATAAGATAGCCATTGAGTATAAGTGTGGTCCTAGCAGAACACAAAACTTAAATGCGTTTGTGTTTGCATCCCTTTTTGCCTTCAGACACCATGAGGAACAGGCAATGGTTAAGAGGAAACATTCCATTGCTGTACCAGCAGATACAGTACTTTATATCTACTGACTACTATCCTAGCTCTTAAATTTTTTCACCCCTCCACTACACAGCCTGTGTCAATGTTGCTTGGAAGTTTTTAGCGGGCCAAGCAGAAAAAGCTGTGGAGAGTATATGTGAATGTATTTGCATATATGCATGTCTTTATATTTGCATAAATGCTTGTGAGCTACTTAGAATAATAGAATTGTAGAGTTGAAAGGGACCACTGAGGGTCATCTAGTCCAACCCCCTGCAATGCAGGAATCTTTTGCCCAACATGGGGCTTGAACCCATGAGCCTGAGATTAAACGTCTCCCAAGTTGTGAGGAATGTGACTAAGGCCACTGTTGGCATGCAGCCCTTGGAAGGTTGGAGAGACCCTCAGGACAAAAAAGTGGCAGCGGCTTGAGGTTTCAGGGAGGAGATCTCTCACAGCCTTGCCTGGAGATGCCAGGATTGAACCTGGGGCATTTTGCATGGAAAGCAGATGCTCTGTCACTGACCTAGAAGCCCTTCCCCAGTCACTTAGGAATGGAAAACAAATGTTAGGTTGGGCCCTTGTATAGTCACTCAGTTCCAGCCTGTCTTTATGGCAGGGTTTCTGTACACATTCTTCTCCCCCTCTCTCTCTCTCTGCCACTGTGTGAGTGTCTGGAGGCGGTTGGAGGATGGATGGCGGCTAACAGATTGAGGTTGAATCCTGACAAGACAGAAGTACTGTTTTGGGGGGACAGGAGGCGGGCAGGTGTGGAGGACTCCCTGGTCCTGAATGGGGTAACTGTGCCCCTGAAGGACCAGGTGCGCAGCCTGGGAGTCATTCTGGACTCACAGCTGTCCATGGAGGCACAGGTCAATTCTGTGTCCAGGGCAGCTGTTTATCAGCTCCATCTGGTACCCAGGCTGAGACCCTACCTGCTTGCAGACTGTCTCGCCAGAGTGGTACATGCTCTGGTTATCTCTCGCTTGGACTACTGCAATGTGCTCTATGTGGGGCTACCTTTGAAGGTGACCCGGAAACTACAACTAATCCAGAATGCGGCAGCTAGACTGGTGACTGGGAGTGGCCACCGAGACCATATAACACCGGTCTTGAAAGACCTACATTGGCTCCCAGTACGTTTCCAAGCACAATTCAAAGTGTTGGTACTGACCTTTAAAGCCCTAAACGGCCTCGGTCCAGTATACTTGAAGGAGCGTCTCCACCTCCATCGTTCTGCCCGGACACTGAGGTCCAGCGCTGAGGGCCTTCTGGCGGTTCCCTCGCTACGAGAAGCCATGTTACAGGGAACCAGGCAGAGGGCCTTCTCAGTAGTGGCACCCGCCCTGTGGAACACCCTCCCACCAGATGTCAAAGAGAAAAATAACTACCAAACTTTTAGAAGACATCTGAAGGCAGCCCTGTTTAGGGAAGCTTTTAATGTTTAATAGGTTATTGTATTTTAGTGTTCTGTTGGAAGCCTCCCAGAGTGGCTGGGGAAACCCAGCCAGATGGGCGGGGTATAAATAATAAATTATTATTATATATTATTATAGTATAATGTAAATAATTTCTGGTGCATTGCATAAGTATAGGTATGCGGTGAAAAACAACTCAAAAAGTGCAGATAACACATCCTGCCAACAGAATTTGTAGCCAGCTGAAAAGTTAGAGATGTCTGAAACAGACCGTGACCGCAACACGGTCCAGCCAAAATCCTACCACTTTACCAATATTGTTTTCATATAAAAAAATAACAGTATTTGGGCTTGAGGGGAAATCCTTAGCCATTAACTGAAATGCCAGCAATAGCCGAGAGTGACTCCAGTATTCTATCATTACCTTTCGATAGCTGGCAACGTATGGGGAAAGTTCTCTGAATTTCCTGCCACATATTTACTGCTTTGTGTTGTTCAGCTTCTCTCGTCTGAATCCACCTACACGGTGCTACAAAAACATTACATCCTGGGCCTGTTGAAGAACTGGCAGGCTGATTCATGTCCAACCTACCGCTGGCTCAGTCTCCATGGAATGGGCAATGTGGCGCGTCACCTGCAAAACGTGAGTGGTTTCATTTTTGCTGTTGCTGTTGCTTAAAGGAAACTCTAGCTAAGGACGAGGTGGAGGTGTTGAACTGGTGCTCTGTACTGAAGCAAAACATGCTATACTGAAACAAGAAGTTGGGGAGAGTATCTTTAAGGAACTGATCTGGGGGCAGAGCTCCAGAACCTGTGTCAGATGCCAGGGCCCAGGCATCTAACACAATATGTGAATAATAAGGGCATGTGCAGAGTACCTTTTCTCACCACTTAATGATCACAGCTAGATGTGAACGTGGCGAGACTATGACAGAAGTGGGATAAATAGATTATATTTTCAACCAAGTGAGTGCTCAGAGGCAAGAACTATTGGGCAGTATTCAACAAATGTGTCCCATCTATGTGCCCCACTTAGGATAATGGAGAGTCTTTCCCCCACTCCCAATTCATAACAATATAAAGGGAAAATAGGGGCCTTGAAATCAACCTAGGACAGCAGACCAACAGATACCCTGGTCACTGGGCACAGACTTACTCACAATGGTGAGAAGTGTATAGTAATAATTTCTAAATGTGCATCTATAGTTATAAATTAACATATGTACATTTTATGCAAATCTGTGTCACGGGGCGATACGTTTCCTGGTTATGTGGCAGTATGTGACCACCAAAACAATGCTTTGCATTACAGTAAATGAGAAATGGGAGGAGAGGGGGTTGTGAACACGGTACTTGTTCTCAGTCCAATAAATCTGGTTTTGCTGGACTGAGATTATTACTTCTTAATTGGGCTTGTGTCTGCAGCCATGATATGTTTCAATAGCATCAATGAATGAAACAGCTGTGGTACATAAATGGGCATCAGTTTCCTGAGTCCGAAAATGGTTAAATAATTTGTCACACTGGAGATTCCTGGTGGTAAATGCTGTAGTGGAGGGGCTAGTCATGGCGTTCAGTGTGTGAACTTGGGCCAACCACCATCTGAGCCTAGCTTACCTCACAGGGTCTAGCCTACCTCACAGGACCTCACCCAGAGAGCTTGAGCTCACCCTGAGCTCAAGCTCTCTGGCAGAGGATGTTATCACCCCCTGCTCTGTTAAGTTTCCCTGTTACACCTCTGCTCCTAAAACACCAGAGAATATGTTCAGGTTTTACATATGAAAGCCCTGCATTGGGGGAACAGTTTCTAGGCTAGTAGGTATGGCTGCTAGGTGAGGCTTAAGCCTCACATGTTTCATCTTAGGAATGGAGTGAAGCATATCTGCAGCTAGTGATATTGCTGACCAGGCGCAGATACAGTTTTGTGCAACTCTGAACATTTGGGTTCCTTTCCTTCACGGATGAGACCGAGATCCAGTGGAAGATCCCACTAGTGGAATGGAGGGGAGGCTATTTCTGCTGATTCCCTCCTTCCCACTTAAATCCCCTCTCATATTGTTCTGGGAGGTTCCCCCAACCCTCCAGAGCAGATTTTTGGGAGGGCACGAAGTTCTCCAGGGAGGAAGAGTATGGGAAGTGTTCCCCCACTCCTTTCCACTGGGTGGGAGTACCATGTGTGCACAACTCTGGTCAGGGGACAACAGCAAGACTAAACTAAGGATCCCAGTCACATAATGTGAAATTGCTACTGTAACAGTAAAAGGATTTTGGTGTCCTTTCAGAAGAAAGAGCTCTCCAACCTGCTCCTGGGTATACTTCCAAGTTTTAACGACACTGATGAGAAGGTGATTTTGACAGCTATGGAGGTCACAAACAAGATCGTAACACTCCACAAAAACAATATAAACATGAACATATTTGTGAAGATCGTCAAACAGCTTCAGCCTTTCTTGGCCGACGTAAGTTTCAGAAGAATTGTTCATCTATGTGAGGCGGGCTTTTCCAGGTGTAAGGGGAGAAAAAGAGGAGCCAGAACTCACCATGAACGCCTCCCTTGTTCTCTTATAATGGCAATGGCGCCCACCTGAGAAGTGCCAGAACTGAGTTTCGATGAGTTCAGGCTGAAAAAAAGCCCTGGATATGTCTCCTGTATGCTCTTTTCAAGTGGCAGTGGCTGCAACCATTGAGGATGTCTTGCCCAAGTGCCTCCTCCAAAAAAACAAAAGAACCCTGGAGCCGGCAGTGAACAATTATGCTTAAGATTGCAGTCTTAAACATATTTGGGTCATTGTGCATTTATTGGGGGGGGGGTGCACAGATCTTAGAAAATTACCTGCAGTTCATTCTCCAGACACAGAATCAGGCCATTGTATCTAAGGCTTAAAATGTAAGCCAGGTTGTTCTTTCTCATAGCTCGGATTGAAGCTGGTTTGAGGGAAATGCAGCAAAAGGCAATATTTCACGAGAAACAACAGGATAGATACAGGATAGATTATAGGGATTGTGGCTAACATTGTGCAAACACCTCTTCCCAAACCAGTGGTGAGAGTGCCCTGGATGCACTGTAAACAGGAGTATCTATCTACATAGCCTCAAAGTGTCTCAGGAAGGTTATCAATTCAAACTTTTTCCTTTCTCTTTCATTCCCAGGGGAGACCCAAAATAACCTGTGCGGCAAACAGGCTGTTTCAAGACATGATTAAGAACCTGGACGTGAAAGAAAAAGCCGCTTTGCAGGACCAGGTTCTCAACAGTATTGTCACGTTGCTACTGAACCTCCAAGATCCACATCTGAATGCGGCTAAGGTAAATGATATTGTGCCTTTTTGCAAAACCTGATAAGGACGCCCTGAGGGTGACGTCAACCAAGTTCTCTCTGGTTGGCCTCTTCCTACACCGATGGCATGTTGTGCATTTACTTGGCAGTGCTGGCAACAGCAAGAGGCATCCATAACAGACCTTTCAATCAGTGCTGGGCAGCTGGAAACAACCAGTTAAATTTCTAGGCTGAGGGCATTGCGGGAAATTTAAATGGAAGCTCACAGGCCTAGGAAGCATCAGCAGTGCACCCTGCTAAAGTGCCGGAACCTTAGAAGCTGCCCAAAGATGCCACATGGTGGCACCAGTTCTGGTGAGGCCAATGGGGGCTTCTCAGGGCACCCTTGCACCTGTGACAATGGCCACAGCCAAACAGTGCAGCTCTATAGTCAAAGGCTTGAAGGGCCTCTACTGGCAAGATGCACTGCTCATGTTTCCAAAAGCAGAAAGTTGCTTGAACAGCAGAAGAGCAATCCTCTGTTTTGCACCAGAGCACACCTATTTATCTTTGCATGGATTTGTTCGAATGACTTATTGCACTTGCTCACCGCTTTTATAACTGAAGTATCCAGAATAGTGTGCGACTTTAAAATACAAATACCGACAGTTCAGTTTTTGAGGCTGACCAATAAAATAACAAAGTCCAAATAAATGCAGTGCTAAAAATATAATTACGTTGGATCAGAAGACAAGGCAGCACCTGCATATTTTGTTGCAGTGACACAATGCTGGGGATAAAGGTGATATTTGAGAACAGGCCAGTTGAGGGCTGGATTAGTATAGTGGCTCCAAGAATGTGGAGTTGCCAGTCCTGAGTTCAAATCTCACCTTAGCCATGACATTCTTGGGCTGCTTAAGCAAACTACAGTCTCCTAATTTCAGCCCCTACTCCCTGGCTGGAATATAATGCGATAACGATAATGTTGACCAACCTTCCAGGACTCATGATATTACAAGTGTAAGCAGTGGTGGCTGGTGCCCATTTCAACTAGTGGGGAGACCAACTATAGTTGGAGTCCAAGCCAATCCCAAGCCAACTGGTTTTAAGAAAGAAGGTAGGCAGGTGGCGACTGAAAGCAGATTGAGGTTGGTGTTACAGTGGTCCATTCACACTAACGGCCCAGCCTCTACTGAGTGAACCATGCTTTGAAGACATAGCTCAGTCCCCGAGGAAGCAATTCCTAAAAGCTTGGGAAATAGGTGGTGTGAAGAATTCCTATGAGGAAATTATTAACTGGTAGACCTCCAAGGACCAAACTGGAAGCACAGACAGAATAGCAGCTGATATACACCTCATTCTTCTTTTTCAGTATACTGCGCTTAAATTAATTGGATGCTGATTTTTCAAGAACAACAGTTTGAAATCAACAGATATGAATTCATTAATGAATAAGGAGCAGAACGTTCCGGAATTGTTAGAACCAAACTGGGGATAGGTGAAAACTTGGGCTTGTTGGTGGGTTTAGAGCAGTGTTTCCCAAACCCGGGTTTCCAGCTGCTTTTGGACTACAACTCCCATCATCCCTAGCTAGCAGGACCAGTGGTCAGGGAGGGTGGGATTTGTAGTCTGAAAACAGTAGGAAACCCAAGTTTGGAAAATACTAGTTTAGAAGAAATCTTGAGCTTTGAAAGCCATAATGATACATTGGATTTCGGTGGCTTTTGTCATTATTTCATTTAGCTCTGCACTCAAGAGAGCTAGAAACTTCCTTCTCTAAATAAAAGTTCTAATCCTAATAACAATTCTTAAAAGATCCAGCAAACTACACAAAAGGGCTTAACAGGAAGCAGATTGCACACAATTTCTTTGGGTGATTGAGGGAATTGCATATGGCCCTTCTATAATTTATTTGGCTTTATTCGACTTTTTTTCCGAATAATCTCTTTTTTTCACTAATTCTGGGGAAGGCTTCTTGTCTCTCTTGTTTTACAGAGTCGTAGAGACAGCTTAAAAGAGTGCAAAGTCTTCTTGGGATGGACTGCAAATGACAACCAGGACTCTTGGAGCATGATTTGCAAGCACCTTGTGAGGCCCTTTGTGCACACTGGGATCTTTTCAATATTATCCGTAGACTTCATATCTGTTGATTTCAAATGAACCAGTGAAAGTGTGTGTGGCAGAGAAACAGGCTTCCTTCAGGCACACTGAAGGAATGTATATGCCCCTACCATATGTATTTTGATAATCCCTGGCCAATTCTGTGGAAATGTTGCATTAGAACAGTTTCCCAAACTTGGGTCTCCAGCAGTTTTTGGACTACAATTCCCATCATCCCTGACCACTGTTCCTGCTAGCTAGGGATGATGGGACTTGTAGTCCAACGACAGCTGGGGACCCGAGTTTGGGGAACTCTGTATTAAAATATCCCCAAAACAAGAAAACCTGATGCATGTTGTCCAACGATCACATAGCCATTACTGGATTCCCCCCCCCAAGGAAGTTGATTCCATAATTATGGCCTCCATGCATTGGATTTTACTTGCACAGGGTGTACTTGAATGTGCCATTCCCATGTGGATGGCCAGGGATGCTAGAGGCAGGGACAGTAGTCCATGTGATAGGCTGGATCCTGGAGGGGGAGCAGTATTGGCCAATCCGGCCCCATGACTCTACAAGTTTCACTTTTGTTTCAAGAGGATCCATTCTTAACTGGCAAATATACCCTGCCTATTGCAGCCATTACAGTGTGTTTATCAAAGTGTTCATTTTCTAGGTTAAGGAACATCCAGGAAAACTACGGAACTTTCTGGACCAGGCGCAAGACTATACTCAAAGCCCACAAATGTATACAAGAAATGCAGCCACCATGTTTATAGGTATATAAACAGAATGCTTTCATCTTTATTTGCCATCCCAGTTCTATCACAGCTCGTAAGACTATTCTGCTTAGGTGGAGGAGAAACTTAGTTGAATACTTATCTATTAATAAGTAAATCCTCACTCAGTTCAGTGGGGATTTACTCCCAGGAAAATGTGTATAGGATTGCAGGCTCAGTTTACAGTTCTGTGCACATTTACCTAGGAAGTCCCACTCAATTTAATAGGACTTGCTTACTTCCAAGTAATTTCACTGTTATCTGGGCCTGCATTCATAAACAATTTAATAAAACATGACAGGCATGTGGTCTGTCTCTCCCTGGTGTTCATTTTTCTCCCTCTAGGTCAGTGGCTTGTCAAATGGTGTTTCCAAGAAGCCATGAAATTCATTGAAAGCTTATCAGGAGGAGAGAAGCTTCTCTGAGGATGGAGCCTGACCAATGTCCACTTGTAGGGAAAGTGCTAGGAATGCAGGAGGTCCTCTCATTTCAGTTGGCCAATAGCAAGCCAGACCAGCCTGGCTGATGTTCTGTGTAAACCGCTGCAAACAAACAGATGTTTTTTGACAGAAAAATCTATGCAGAAAAGGTTTCCTGAGGGTAATTCTGAAAGCTTCTGCTCTAGACTTTCTCACAAGGAAATCTTACTTTTTACTGCTGTGATGCCTAGGAATCTGTTCCAAGCCCCAGATTTTCAGTGGTGAGACCCAAACTCTGAAACTCCATACACCACAGATATGCCTGTCTAGTCTCTACATTGAATGATTATAAAGATGTTCATATTCTGCGAGGCATTCAGTGATGGCAGTTGTCCTGGGGTGTTGTGAGTGGGTGTTTAACCTAGGGATGGCTTTTATCATTCTGTTCTTTTCTTAACCAGATTGATTTTTGTGTATGTGCATGTTTATATACTCTTCTGTTTCATTTTGTTTATATTTCTGCTGTTGATTTTAATGTTATTTTTTGAGAGAGCCACCTTAAGGGATCAACTGACCTGTGTGGCAGATATTTTAAAAACAGATGAAAGCAATATAGTTCGGGCTCTATCTGCAGATAGTAATCTGTGTTATTGAAGAAGTTGGTGGCAAATGCCACCCTTCGTCTTCAGAGAATATAACTGAGAGTAAAGTTAACAGCCCTTTTTATTTACACTGAGTATGGCGTATCTCTAGATTCTATCTTGGAGCACTTAGATTCCAGTCCTCTACAAAAGTCAGAAGTGGACTTCCTGAGGCAAGGTAAATATCATAATATCATCCAATAGTAAGATGTCTGCATTTTCTAGTATTGCTACTGGATTCAGCTGCTTATTGCTGTCTGCACTAAGAAGAGAAATAAAATATGCATAACTGTAGAGGAAACTGTATATGTACCGTTTCTGTACATCTTTCTTGCTGTTAAGCACAGCACTCACTGTCATTCATGAATAGATAGATAGATAGATAGATAGATAGATAGATAGATAGATAGATAGATATCACACACCTATTTCCTTGTAGGGACTAGCGAATCTGTCCTTTTTTCCAATCTTTAATTCACATTTCCACATTGCTTTGAAAATTTTCTTTTAAAAGAACATTTTCTTATGAAAATCCATCAGCAGTTTAGTATGAATTTCTCCTAATATGCACATTTCTGCAAAGCGCATTATCTCCAGTAGAATGTAGATTCGTAATTTCCACTAAAATGTGCATTTTGTGCATACTTCACCTTGGAATATGCATTTTTGCACACCTGGCTAGATGGGTGCAATGCAAAATTCAGAGACGTGCAGATTTCCAATGATAAGCTGTGTTTGCATAGTGTTTTGGAACATGCAAATTAGGTAGGTTTGCCTTTATAGGTGCAAACCTGCCTATAAATGCAAACTGAACTGAATATCTTCCCCACCCCTGCCTCCTGGTCAAGGTCATACACTCTCTTTCAAATCAGAGAGTTTGTGGACTTGTTTAGTACATTTAGATCAGGGAGGCATACATACATTCTCCCAGGTTTTATCCTCCAAACAACCCTTTGAGACAGGTTAGATTGAGAAATAGTGATTAGTCCAAAGCTACCAAGGGGCCTTCATGGCTGAGTGGAGATTTGAACACTGCAACTCTTCCAGGAGGCTTGTCTAGCGAGTATTCATTCTGATTTGTTTGCACAAAACTTGTGCACTACATCAAGCGATTTGGTATCATACACTTTCTAGCACATATTTTCCTATCACTTCCCTTTCCTGAACAAAGTTTGGTGTTGTGGGGGTGGGTGCAAGAGTGCAAAATCAACTGCAATTGTGCAACCGGAAATGACCAGGATATAATTGTATCCCACCCACAAAACAGTGACAATCTGGAAGCTTCTCCTGGCTCCTAGTCTCTAACCCTCTAATCACTACAACCCACCAGCTCTCTTGTGTCTCTTCATTCATTGCAAAATTAATTTTGCCGCTTTTCATTCCCACCTTTGTCATGAAAAGCTTTCACAGATGCACAAACAAAACAATCCCTCTCACTCGCTCATGTGTACGACATACACTGTTTAGCATTACAGTATCTCTTCTTTCTCTACTCCATGATATGCTAAGGCATAGAATGCTTCTTTGTTAACCCAGCCTTGCCCAAAGCAGCTGGTATATTTGACAGGGAGGAGAACTGGGTCATTCCCATGTCAAGTCGTTGATCTGCCCTTTCCTCTTTGTTTCAGCTTTCAGCTCTTTCCCATCAGAAGCACAGCGCCCTGTCCCGGTTGTTCCAGAACCAGAAAAAGTACGCAGGTACTGCGCAGACCTGTTCAGATGTTCCCGCTATTTCCCAAGGTACGTTTTCTTTCAGGTTGTACGGTGAAAATTAAGCATTAATAGATTTTTTAAAAGCTACCATGATCACAGGACAAGAATGAAAACAAGAGGGCAAAATATTCCTGAGCAGTAGGGGTGAAAATAGACTGCAGAGCATTTTTTGCTACTATGGATGACAGTAGACATGGTGGCGATGTCTTTTCACACATCCACCCTGTTTGTATAGAAGAGCATAACATGCCTTAAGATCCCTCCTGAATTAGGCCAACATCTCGCCCAGCATCCTATCCTCAAAAGTCACATCCACACCATACATTTAATGAACATGGCGTCCCTCAAAGAATCCCGAGAACGGTCATTTGTTCAAGGTGCTGGGAATCATAGCTTTGTGAGGGGTAAACTACAGTTCCCAGTATTATTTCAGGGGAGACTTGTGCTTGGGACGTTCCTCTAATGTTTGGTGGGACGCGGGTGGCGCTGTGGGTTAAACCACAGAGCCTAGGACTTGCCGATCAGAAGGTCGGTGGTTCGAATCCCCATGACGGGGTGAGCTCCCGTTGCTCGGTCCCTGCTCCTGCCAACCTAGCAGTTCAAAAGCACGTCAACGTGCAAGTAGATAAATAGGTACCGCTCCAGCGGGAAGGTAAACAGCGTTTCCATGCGCTGCTCTGGTTCGCCAGAAGTGGCTTAGTCATGCTGGCCACATGACCCGGAAGCTGTACACTGGCTCCCTCGGCCAATAAATCGAGATGAGCGCCGCAACCCCAGAGTCGAGCATGACTGGATCTAGTGGTCAGGTGTCCCTTTACCTTTTTTACTAATGTTTGGTGTGGTCAAACAGATGCCTGTAGGAAGTCCACAAGCAGGACCTGGGTGCAACACCACTCTTTCCCACCTGCAATTTCCACCAACTGGTATTCAGTGGCATACAGTCCCCTGGCAATAGTAGCATATAGTCCCCTAAATGTCCCCCTGGCGCTTCCTTCCCAAAGCCCGGGAAGTTTCTGCCTGGCTTGGGGAGGGAGGCACGATGCTCTCAACAAGGTCCAAGAGTCCTCCCACCACCTTCCTCAAGCCCGCCTGGCTTTGGGAAGGAGGCAGGAGGACTCCAGCATCCTTTCAGAGGCTTGGTGTCTCTTTCCCAAAGCTTGGGAAGCTTCTGCCCAGCTTAGGGAGGAAGGCTTGGTGCTCACACACGCGATGTCGGGAAATCGTGGTGTGAAGTGTGCACCGTCCTGTCCCGCCATCCTCCTTGCAAGCTGGCGGCTCTAGCCCTAACTGTTCCCCTACGAAAAATTTAACTGCACGCTACAGTCTGGCAGGGAAGGAACTAGTAACCCATGGCTAGTAACCCATAATAGTCTCAGCCTCTGTGAATTTATCTAATCCTCTTTCAAAGTTTGTGGCCATCCCTACCTTTGCCTTTGAATCATGGTGGGATTTTGGTTTGTTTCTGCTCTTGTTTTTTGTGTCTTTTATGTTGTGAACCGCCCTGAGATCTACGGATGAAGGACGGGTATACAAATTTAATAAATAATAATAATGATACCTCTTATGGTAGCAGATTCCACAATTTAACTATGTGCTGTATAAGGAAGTACTCTTCTTGGCTATCCCGAAAGCTGAGGTAGAATCTGTCCTGCAGGCAGGGGTGATGCATAAAAAAGCACATTGATCCCAAAAACCTCCCCACCCCATGCCTTATTTCCCCCAATATGAGAAGCAGGAACGTGGAAAAGTGACTGGCAGACCGAATTACAGTGGTACCTCTGGATGCGAACGGGATCCATTCCGGAGCCCCGTTCGCATCCAGAAGCGAACGCAACCCGCGTTTGCGCGTTTGCACGGGTCACGATTTGCCGCTTCTGCACATGCGTGTGATGTCATTTTGACCGTCTGTGCATGCGCGAGCAGCAAAACCCGGAAGTAACACACTCTGTTACTTCCAGGTCGCCACAGCACACAACCCGAAAATACTTATCCCGAAGCTACTTCAACCCGAGGTATGACTGTATTGTATTGCAATGTATAGGAGGAGAAGAGTTCTATGCACTCCTTTTAGTAGGAAAGTAAGCAGGACTGGTCCACCTAGGTGAAGTAAGCAGGACTGATCCAAGACAGAATATGAAAGGCTCTCCATGCCTCATCCCATCATGTTGTACCTAAAGCCATCCATACTACTTTGGTACATGTGGCAAAAAATATATATCCGCAAATGTCTCTCCCCACCCCAGCAGTAAAAATATGAGATGATAAATATATACTCCCATTTAATGACACCCCAAATCAGCACAGACTCCTCACTCTGCCTCATGGTAGACTCTTGTCAGCCCCCATTCCACATTTTATATGTAAATGGGGCAGACACATATAACCTCCCCCGCCTGTGTCTGGTTTGGCACAAGACTAGTAGTTTTATTTTGTTTTGTCATTATGCACTTTGGTCTCACGCAGGCAAACGTGGCCCTCCAGCTGTTTGGGGACCTCAAATCCCATCATCCCTGACCACTAGTCCTGTTAGCTAGGGATGATGGGAGTTGTAGTCCCAAAACAGCTGGAGGGCCAAGTTTGGCCATGCCTATCTCAGAGAATCCCACCTGGACCAATAGTTATGAGGTCGAAAGGTGTGTACTGCATCACCTACTGAAATGTTAATGATGATTCCCTTTCTTGCTGACTTTTCTGCTTTACAGATCTTGTATTTGACGCCTGTATCCGAAGTTAATATCCATCTGAATAAAGAGCACTGTATGAAATTTCACGGTGAAGGCTTATTGTGGCGTTCCTCTCTGAGGTTAGGTAGTTTTTGCTGCTAGAATTGGATAGGAAAGTAGCTTTCTTAAGGAGAGGTGGATCAATCGATGTCCTTCCTTTGGCATTATCATAATGTAAAAGCAGAGTGTTTTCTAGGCAGTAATCAAAACCCTCCTTAAGATGGAAGTGTATGAAACCTCCTTCCAGCAGCTTGCTTGCTGCCCACAGCTGCCTGCACTCCCATTGATTCAAGTATCTGCTCATTCAGTTCAAAAATATGAAGCAGCCATTACTAGGAATGTTTAAGGGGCAACATAATAGGCTTAACAAAATGTGGCAGGGAGAGGGAGAGGGGGAGAGAGCTCACAACTGAGTTTTGCATGTTCATGGACCTCTGAAAGATCTGTTATTCAAAGGGGAAATGTCATATGACCATTATGCAGCCTTAGCATTTTAAAATGTGAAGCAGACTTGGGAGCTTTTAATTTTGAATGGAGGGATGGGTGTGCAAACGTGCCCAGAACCAGCCCTACCATTAGGCAGATGATGAAGGGGCAGGAAACAGCAGTTGGGGTCTGATGTTTTATTATGTTTCTGTATATGCTGGAAACCACCCAGAGTGGCTGGGGCAACCCAGGCAAATGGGTGGGGTACAAATTATAAAATTATTGCTACTATTAATATTATAAGTGCACAGGCAGAATTGTGTGTGCCATGCAGACAGTCCTGTGCCCCTTAAACCAGGGACGGGGAACCTCAGGCCCAGGGTGGCTTGATGTGGACATCCAGGTCTCTCTCTCAGGCCATTGGGACATTTTCCAGACCACACTCTCTTCCCAGCCATACCCTGCTTCAGTGTGTGTATACACCCCATTGCAGGGGTGCCATCTAGGAGGGGCCAAGGGCCCCCAAAGTTTCAAGAAGGCGGCCAGGCCTTCTCAATTAATCTGCGGCCTGCAGTAGGCCTCATGGCCTCCTCCCGATGTGTGATGTCAGACATGCACCCCATGTGTGTGATGGCACACGCGTGTGTCGGGCCTCTCCAAAGTTGGGCGGAACCCAGCACCTGTGCACCACTGTGAGTACAAAAGTAACATTTATCATCATCGCTCCATCTACTTTTGCCTTTGGTCCTACTCACCACTGGCATGTGTGTGTCCCACACCACTACCACCGAAGGTTTCCCACAATAAAATGCAGTTCTCATGTTGAAAAAAGTTTCCTCTCCTTTGTCCTAAACAAACTGTCTGACCTCTGGTGAGGTGGAAGAAGCTGTCCTAAAAGTAAGATCAAACAGCCAGTTCAGTTGGCTTCATCTGTAGGGCTGCAGCGCCATGTTAGCCTTCAACTCAGGCAGTCGGATATCTTAGGACTACAGGGCGTGGGTGTGTGTGTGTGTGTGTGGAACTGAGATGCTTTAGCTTTATTTCCAGTGATAATTTTTTCTGATCAAAATTGCAATCAGCTTCTTTCTCCCTTACCTTGCAGATTTCCAAATGCATTATTTACAAAGTATGCATCTGAAATCCTGCAAAGAAGGGGGTGGGTAGTGATTGCATGTAAAAACTATTAGGATGGAGCAAATTAAGCACCCCTTCCTCTCTCATCTTTCCAAGGCTTTAATTTATTTATTTTAAGAACATCATTACACATCATTACATTTTAGTGTAATATGCAGTTTGCCAGTCCTTACTCCATTTGAAAGCACTGGCTCTCCGGAAGAAGAAACAGTTAACTATCAAAAAGATTTCTAGACTGTCCTGGCACCTTGTTAATAAGCAGAATGAACTGCTTGCAGTATCTGTTCGGGAACAAACAAGAAAACTAAGTGAGGCTTTAGGGTCAGAGGCAGATTTGCCATTATACATCACCAAGGACAATGTGTCAAGTGGTATATTTATCTGTGAAGTGGAAAGGAAATTAACAATTGCTGGAACAATTCACCCGGCATGAGTTCTCTGGCGCAACACAAATGACTGATGTCTGGCAATAATTATGGAGCCCGATCTATTCAGAGAGGAAGTTACTAGCATATTCACTTTGCTTGTTAACTGATTTGTTAGCTGTCCAGAGTGCACAAGGCAGAACAGAAAGTTTGCACTGCTGCTTCTAACATTTCCTAACAAGCTTTCCATTTGCCTCATAAATACAAAGTTGTCAAGCTGCTGTGTGTCATCTTGCAGGCAATATTATTCACAGTACTTTAATCTCCGAATGATTTTCAAAAGTAATGGTCCAGTATGCTCCACTGATCGCAGTATATATTTACAACCTACATGCAGGGGGGAAAACCTGGCAACCATTTGCCAGAGATGGCAATGGCATGGACTGTTATTTACTTTTCTTGACTTTGTTCCAAGAAATGTCACATTCTGCATGCAAATATTACGTGCCTTATTCTGAAGCATATTTTGCAGAACTTGCCGTTATTTGATAGGATCAGCATGGCGGGAGAAAAAAGACACAGGTAAAAGAGTGACAAGATGGTATTTATTTTGTTTTCTTGAATATCTGTCTCTAACCTGCTTTTCCATATGCAAAGCAACCAACAGAGTCCAACGAGGGAATGGCTGACTGTGTCCATTTCAGCTTCTCTCTGTTTCTTGTCCCCCCCCCACTCTTACTTGTTTTGTTTTATTTAATTTTTTCTATACTGCTTTTCAAAAAAAAATGCGTCAAGGTGGTGTACAACAATGTGAAACAATAAGGCTTCATAGAAATGTATACATCATGTAGTAGGCCAAGAATGAACAACAAAAAGTGAACTAACTGGTAGATCAGTTCTGTTCTTAAGTTCATTTTTCCACATTTCCACATCAGTTTGCCAGTTAAAAAAAAAAGCCATAAAAACTCATCAGCATAGTATGACTTTCTCCTAATGTAAACACTTTATGAGTGGAAGGGCAAACTCTACAATCCTGAAACTGGGACACCCATCCCCAAAGTGTTTCCAGGTAAACACTTTTGCTTTCTGCTACATACAAGTACAGGATGCGGGTGGTGCTGTGGGTTAAACCACAGAGCCTAGGACTTGCCAATCAGAAGGTCGGTGGTTTGAATCCCCGTGACGGGGTGAGCTCCCGTTGCTCGGTCCCAGCTCCTGCCAACCTAGCAGTTCGAAAGCACGTCAAAGTGCAAGTAGATAAATAGGTACCACTCCGGCGGGAAGGTAAACAGCGTTTCCGTGTACTGCTCTGGTTCGCCAGAAGCAGCTTAGTCATGCTGGCCACATGACCCGGAAGCTGTACGCCGGTTCCCTCGGCCAGTAAAGCGAGATGAGCGCTGCAACCCCAGAGTCGGTCACGACTGGACCTAATGGTCAGGGGTCCCTTTACCTTACATACAAGTACAGTGGTACCTCAGGTTAAGAACTTAATTCATTCTGGAGGTCTGTTCTGAGCCTGAAACTGTTCTTAACCTGAGGTGCCACTTTAGCTAATGGGGCCTCCCGCTGCCGCCGCGCGATTTCTGTTCTCATCCTGAAACAAAGTTCTTAACCCAAGGTACTATTTCTGGGTTAGAGGAGTCTGTAACATGAAGCGTCTGTAACCCCAGGTACCACTTGTTGGAGGGGGATTTCCAGCTGGTGGCAGAGGACAGAGTGACTCCAGGAGACATAGGTGTAAAAACCCAAACTAAAACGAAGACTTTATTACTAAGCAAATAAACACAAACTCTGGTGGGTGTTATTCCTGCAGGCAGGCAACAAAACTCAGCTTTTTCCTTTATAGCAACGGTCACCTGCAGCCAATTAATCCCAGAAACTTCTTAAAGGTATACACACATGTTTCTGTGCCGAATGTCCTCTAACACCCCCTCTCATTCAAACAGAAACAATAGTATTTTAAACAGAACAGAACATATTTACATATCACACACAGCAACTCCCAACTTTGCTACCAGTCGTGCATGTTTTTCAAAAGTTAACGCTTTTGTAAATACATCTGCCACATTTTGTGTACTTTCACAATACTTCAGCATTATCTGGTTCTGTTTTACATTTTCAGCTACATTTTGATATTTAATTTCCAAATGCTTTGATTTGTTTCTAAACAGGTCAGACCCAGACAAAGTTATTACGGCTTGATTATCTTCCATAATTTGAACAGGATAATCACACTGTACGTTTATATCCTTGAGGATCTGAACATAAAATTTTACCTCATTACATAATTCCGACAATGCACAGTATTCGGCCTCTGTTGATGATGTGGCCACGATACTTTGTTTTTTGGATTTCCAACCTATCAAAGAATCCCCAAATTGAAATACCATTCCAGAAATTGATTTTTTATCAGACAGGTTGGCCCAATCGCTGTCAACGTAACACTGCAATTTTGTGGATCCTGAAGATGGTAATCTTAAACAATGATCAAGTGTTTGCTTTAGATACCGGAAAATACGTTTTAAACCTTTCCAGGCATTTTCTGTAGGACAGCTTACTAGTCTGCTTAGTATTCCAACTGCATAACTCAAATCTGGTCTGCTCCACAATGAAATGTATAATAAACTTCCAATTATTGAATGGTACATTTCAGGATTTACAGGTTCTGTGCATTCTCCTTCATTTTTGAAAAAACCTATTTCCATTGGGGTTTTTACTCCCTTGCAGTTTTGCATATTGTTTCTTTCAAGTAACTCCATTATTTTGTCTTTTTGACTCAACAAAAAACTTCCATCGTTTGTTCTTTGAATTTCTAAACCGAGATAATTTTTTACTGGCCCCAAATCTCTTACTTTAAATACCTTTCTTAGTTGTTCTGCAAATTTTTCCACTTGCTTGTCACTTTTTGTAGAGTAAAGCAAATCATCAACATAACACAAACACAATTCTTGTTTATCACCCTTTCCTTTAGTGTACAAGCAGTTATCAGCTAAGCTTCTTTTAAAACCAAGATTTTTTAAAGCATTATCAAGACACTCGTTCCAATTTCTAGCTGACTGTTTGAGCCCATAAATTGCTTTGTTCAGCCTATATACAGAATTCTGTTCTCCTGCCTCAAAACCTGGCGCTTGATTCATAAAAATTTCTTCTTGCAGATTTGCGTTAAGATAAGCTGTTTCAATATCAAAATGGTTTACCTTAAACCCACGTTGTGCTGCAAGAGCTAGCAATAAGCGTACACTTTCACTCCTTGCAGTAGGAGAAAAGGTTTCATCAAAGCTTTCACCTTTTCTTTGAGTAAAGCCTTGTGCTACCAGTCTGGCTTTGTACTTAACATCACCATCTGCCAAATGTTTTATTTTATACACCCATCTACAGCCCACTGCCTTTTTTCCTTCTGGCAATGGCTCAATGGTAAAGACATTGTGTTCTGCTAAAGATTTCATTTCTGCTTTCATTGCATTTTTCCACCTTACTATTTCCTGGTGTGGTAACTTTAAAACTTCCTCATAATCACGAGGTTCCTTTTTCACATCAACAGTTTTAGCTTCTTGTATAGTAAACCTTTCTGGAGGTACCCCCTTATTGCTTCTTTGTGACCTTCTAACTTGAACACTCTCCCCCTCTGAACTATCTTCCCCTTCTGATTTATCCTGCTCAGGAGAAATTGGTTCAGCTTTAGGAGATTGTGTACTGGGATCCTCATCCCCTGAATCCTCATCACTGTCACTTTCAGAACTTTCTTTAATTTGTGGCTTTTCTTCCTCAGATTTCACAAATTTATCTGTATCATCAGAAGATAACACAACTTCTGAATTTCCATGTAAACGAACCCAACCATCTTGCTCACAAAACTCTGCATGTCTTGATATTACAACTCTGCCACGCCCTAGTGCAAAACGATACCCCTTTGACCAAGTTTGATAGCCAACAAACCTAAGTTTCTTTGCCTTGGGCTCTCCTTTCCTTCTCTGTCCTTTTGGGATGTGAACCCAAGCCCAGCAACCAAAAGTTTTAACATGGTCCAAAAAGGGTTTTTTTTCCATAAAGCAAAAAATGAGGGGTGTTGTTTATGGTAGAATGAAACAATCTGTTCTGTATGTAGTTAGCACACAGAATTCCTTCCCCCCAATACTTTCTGGATAGGCCAGAATCACATAGCATTGAATCTAGCATTGTTTGTAAAGATCTTATCTTGCGTTCTGCAACTGAATTTTCTTCAGGCGAAAAAGGACACGATTTACGGTGACTAATACCACGCTTTTCCAACCAAACTTGGAGGGCTTCAGACATGAACTCGCCTCCACGGTCACTTTGCAACTGGGTAACTTTGTAGGGAAACTGCCTTTCTATATAGTTGATCCAATTCTTAATCAGTTGACCAGTTTCACTTTTGTGTTTTAACAAATATACCCAAGTATACCGGCTATAATCATCTACAAGAACCAAAAAAAACT